ACAACAACAACAACAAAAACTAAAAGCCTAATTTTACTTGGTGTATTGAATCAGATTCTAATATCTGACAGAAAACATGAGGCCAGGTAGATGGCTTCTCTCACAACACATTCCTTCTTCCGGTCTCTCTGTCTCCACACTGTGATGTTTTCTCCCTGAGCACATATGGGCCACATGAAACCCTCTTTGAGAAACACTTGGAATGATTTTTCCCAAAGAAATAAATGGATGCAGAACAATGAAAGATTAAAAGGCTCCATACAGCCCAGGCCCTCCAGAGTTTGACCTAGAGCAGCGGTTCTCAACCTATGGGTCGCGACCCCTTTGGGGGTCGAATGACCCTTTCACAGGGGTCGCCTAAGACCATCGGAAAACACATCTATAATTACATATTGTTTTTGTGACGAATCACTATGCTTTCATGATGTTCAATTTGTAACCATGAAAATCCATCCTGCAGATCAGATATTTCCATGACGATTCATAACAGTAGCGAAGTGACAGTGATGAAGTAGCCACGAAAATAATTTTATGGTTGGGGGTCACCACAACATGAGGAGCTGTATGAAAGGGTGGTGGCGTTAGGAAGGTTGAGAACCCCTGACCTAGAGGGTTTTATCTGGGGTCAAGAGACGATAAAGGCTCCAGGTGGTTGACGAAAAAAGAAAAGTATGGGGAAGAAGAGAGATTTTTATCCAGCATCTCAAAGAGTTTCCATGAATTTGTAGGACTTGCAAAATCAAACGGCAGCCGGTGCTGAGTTGCAGCTAACCAAAGGAAGGTTGACTTTCCCGTGGAGTGGCCGCACATCATTACTGTGCACTCATTATGGGCTGAAAGTCTAGCCTTCAGATTTGCAGGGAGGAGCTGATTCTGACTGCGGGTTGGAGGGCATATTACCACCTGGAGATGTTTTGTGTGTGTATTATTTGCAAAGCTACATGTCAGGAGCCACACAATCTAAATGTCCACTCAAGGCTCTCACAAGCAGTCTTTTCTACATGTGACGGGATTTATTCAAAGAGAAAAACATTTTTTTCTTATTCTTCAGACCAAAGGGAAGATTGCTTTTTAACCCACCTCTCATTTCTTCAACTCCCTCTTATTGTAGCCCAGTCTGTTAGAAACTTGCTCTCTTCTGTCTGAAGTATTTATTGCAAAGCCCTTTTCCAAGCAGGAAGTCTGATCCCAGTAATAGTGTGATTGTAAAAGCCAATAGAAAAGCCATTATAAACTCAGTCGCAACTCCTTCTTGCTTAGAACTTTCAACTCTGTTTCTATGGAAAAAAAGAACATTCTTTGAAGAGCACTGTTCTTCTCCTTGTTGTCTGAGCTCACTTTGCCTACTTGGTCAAAAACGGAATTTGCGCCCAGCCAGGTGTGGCTCAGCGGTTGAGCGGTGGCCCAGGAACCAGGAGGTCACGCGTTCGATTCCCGGTCAGGGCATATGCCCAGGTTGCAGGCTCGATCCCCAGTGGGGGGTGTGCAGGAGGCAGCGATTGATGTTTCTCTCTCCTTCTTGTCTCTAAAATCCATAAAAACATTTTTTTTTTAAGTGAGGCAAA